GTCTTTGGGTATCGAGAAGGATAGACGCAATCCTTCTTAGGAGGTGATTCATTCTGCAATCGGGAGTCTTCCAGTTCTTGAGCAATGCAATTACCCCTGCATTATCCCCAACAATCTTAATCGCACCATCCTTGGATGAAAGTTTGAAATGTTTGCGAATAAAAGATAAAGTGGACAGAACCCTGAATAATTCCCTGTGCGTACTGGAAGTTGAAAGTCAATTATCAAGAAGAGAAAAACTTAATTTTTCTTTCTTTCCCTGGTTGTGATAGATGATTGCTCCAATGGCATGATCTAAGGCGTCAGTTTGAATGGTGATTTCGATATGTTTGATCTTCCAACTTCTTCCTGGAAGGTGGAAAATGTTAGTCAACCACCAATTGAGGTCGTTTCTCACTTCGTCTGAGAGGGGAAATAGGTCGTCCCATGCATTGGGATTGATGGCTTGGTGAAGATTAAAGCAAAAGGTTACGGCGGGTTGGAAGGCGTTGGCGAGTGCAACCTATTTTCCGGCAATAGAAGAGATCTCCTTACTTGAAACTGCAGGTTTAAATAATAATAGTTTGATGGTCGTGCAAATTCTGAGGGTCTTTTCTTCCAAAATTGATGTTAGCTTAAGGTGAGAATCCATCTTGAAGTCAAGAAACTTTACGCATTGACTCGGAGAAGGGAGAAAAAAACATTTGTTTAGACTTAAAAAAGAAGCCCAATTTATGAAGGAGGCAGGAAAAAATGAACGATGACCAGATACTGCAAAGGTAGGTTCTTTGAACCAAGAGCGAGTCGTCAATGTAAAAGAAAATGCAGATGGATCTCAACCTGAGGGTTGTCATGAGTTCTTGCATTACAGTGGTGAAAATCCAGCAAGCTGAAGATATTCCAAAACAAAGAATAGTGAAATGGAAGGTCTTGTTCTTCCATTCGAAAGTCAGGTAGTCTCTGGACTTCTTGTTGACCTTGATATGATAGTATCCATTCTTGACATCATAAGTAGTTACAAAGTCCGATATACGATTGAGAGAACATGCAGCTGACACATCATAAATTGATTCATAGTGGAATTTGGGAAAAGAGATAAAGAGGTTGACAAATCTTAGATCCATAATAAATCGTTTTTTGAGAGAGCTTTCGATGACAAAGATCGGGTTAATGACAATTGGTGATGAAGTCTCGCGAATTACTCCTTGACTGAGTAATCCTTCCAACGTAGCATTGGCGAAAATCTTATCCTCAACAGGTAGATCATAATTAGGAAAACGGATTGAGGGTGTTTTCTCTTCTCCCAGGGCATCCTTGAATTCCTAAGCAGTCATCAAACTCCTAACCATCCTCCAAACATCCTCTATCTTATAAGGCTCATTGTGAAAAGTTCCTTCAAACTTCAAACCGACTCCATTTGCGATCCAATTGAGAACGTTTCTTGAATCCTTCCTATTGGATCCTTCCAACAGATCGTTCCATTCGCTCCACTTCTCCGAGAGTGATGCGGCCTTGAATTATTCGGGTTGGTTGAGCCATTCTTGGGTTCTTGATAATAAATTGAGGGCGCATACAGCTTCGGTAGGTGAGAGAGAATAGTTCATTAAAGAAATAAAGTGCTTGATAGGTGGTAGTTGCTTAGCAGTTATACGACCTCCTTCCATCGTCCCTCCTGAAGTCCAGAAACTTGGAATTTTGCTTGGAGTGTTGCTGGTTCTTGTCCTTCTTGTGAAATTGGTCTGATGATTGCCTGCAATAAGATAAATTTTCTTTAGATTAGTTAACTTACCTTGGTGAGTGTAATCGCAGGTTTTCAACCGGAAAAAGTCGGCGGGCATAGATGATTGCCCTAAAACCCCTTCTATAGTTTGAATGATACTTCATAATGAGTAAAGATGATTGCATTAGCACCTTCCGGAAAAAGTCGGGGGGCTTGATAAAATGCCCCTTAGGGTGTGCAGATAATTTTTCTTGTTTACCTTCTTGCGGCCTTATAATCTCTGTCGCTCCAAGCTCTGAGGATCTTTGGTAATGCCTTTACCGATGTAAATAATTGTGCCTTGGTTAACCATTCCCTCACCTAAGGGGGCACAAAGAGTCACACAATCGTCTAGCAATATGGTTAGTATCGTTAGCGAAGGTCTTAGCCTCATCCTTTCCGGCCCCATATTGAGTGTAGGCCAAATTAACCATCTTGGCTCTAATAATCAGATCTATATGCCTGCTCCAAGGAGGAGCTTGGTAGATCTGATGCAGCCAATCAACCTCGATTGCTGCAACTTCACATTTTGGGTTTGGCTCCTGGATGATCTTAAGGAACATTGAATTGATCTTTGTTTCATCTGCTATATTCAAATCATCCATGTTGAGGTTCTCGTTGTCCGAGTCTGAATGGTTACTCGAATGCCTTCTTTTGAGATAGCTGGGCTTGCGTCTTCTTTTGAGAGCAGTCTTTTGAACTGAGGTTTCTCGATCGCTTTCTGAAAGTTGATCATTATCCGTGTTGATGCCACGTTCCTTCCCCTTGCTACATTTCTTCGAAGGTACGTTGACCTTGATAATAATAATGGAAGCGGGAAAAGGTGGTTCAACATTTTCACACCTCTTTACCTCCAAAAAGACCTCCTCCAGGTTTGTTCCTGGTTCTGAAAGGTTTTTTAGGACCAAAGCAGTGTAGTAATCCTCAACATGGGAATTGCAAAATACCTTGACCGTGGTGCCCACGAGAATCTCAACTCCCCTGGATTTTAACAAATGCTTTTGTGAAGGTATCCATCTGGAGAAATCAAATCAACGAGAAAAACAATTTAGGTTTTTTTTTTTTTTTTTTTTTTTTTGCATTCGGTTTCTTGCGGTAAGGCCAGGCCCAAGATTTCATTTCGTTTCACCGGCTTTGCAGTCCTCTCAATATCTTCAGGGCCTATCCTTAGTTATGCGATATAAAATCACCCTGATCTCTAGGTTATTGAGAGGGTGTGTCGGTTGAAAAAACTCTTCCTGGGTCGGCGCTTTCGTCTTCTTGTGGATTGGTCTTCCCTTGTGGTTATGCTGTAGGAGTGTGAAGCGCGGTAGGTTTTCCTTATTCCATGAGCTCGGAATACCCTTGTTTGGGGTGATTGACTTGAAAAAGTGTTTTTCTGGAATGCATCCTATAATTATTTTGTGAAAGGGGCCTTCTACAGGCAATCTACTCCCCTCCTCTTTATGATATGACTAGGCGTATGAAAACAGGCGATGAAGCATCGGTCTCATTACTAGTAAAATAAGTCACTTGGAGTAGTTTGTGAATATTGTTTTTCTGCATGTAAATAATAAAACAATCGCAGAGAGAGAGAGAGAGAGAGAGAGAGAGAGAGAGAGAGAGAGAGAGAGAGAGAGAGAGAGAGAGAGAGA